GGGCTCACCGGTGTTGGAGGACACGGATTTCCCGATGTCGGCCAGGGAGCGGTGGATCGGTTTCTTGGTCTGGTGGCGGTGCTTGCGCAGGAGGACGTAGCTGAGCTTCTCCCGCAGCTCGGGCTTCAGCAGCCCGTCCTCGATCTGCTTCTCGATGACATCATCTGCAGCATGGTGACCAATTGGTGACACCATGGTGACCCCCAGACCCCCCCAAATCCCCCATCCTCGATCTGCTTCTCGATGACATCGTCTGCAACGTGGTGACCCAGGGGTGACCCCGGGATGAGCCAGGTGTGACTCCCAGGCCCACCCCAAAATCCCCTATCCTTGATCTGCTTCTCTCTGTAACACGGTGATGCTGGGGTGATCCATCAGTGACCCCCAAATTCTTCCAAAATCCCCCATCCTCCATCTGCTTCTCAATTACATTGTCTGCAGCACAGTGACTAAGGGGTGACCTCTCCAGAACCCCCCAAAATCCCCCATCCTCGATCTGCTTCTTGATGACATCATCTGCAACGTGGTGACCCATAGGTGACCCCGGGATGGCCCAGGTGTGACCCCCAGACCCCCTAAAATCCCCTATGCTTGATCTGCTTCTTGATGACATCGTCTGCAACATGATGACCCCGAGGTGACGCAGGGGTGACCCCCAAACTCTCCCAAAATTCCCCATCCTCCATCTGCTTCTTGATGACATCGTCTGCAACACGGTGACCTAGGGATGACCCCGGGGTCACCCCCAGACCCCCCAAAATCTACTCCTTGAGCAGTGACCCTCAAACCAGTGACCCCGAAATCCCCCATCCTTGATCTGCTTTTTGATGACATCGTCTGCAACGTGGTGACCCATAGGTGACCCCTGGGTGACCCCCAGACCCCCCAAATCCCCTGTCCTTGATCTGCTTCTCGATGACATCATCTGCAATACTAGCCCATGGTGACCCCCAGACCCCCCCAAATCTGCTGCTTCAGCAGTGACCACCAGAACCTCCCCAAAATTGCCTATCCTTGTTCTTCTCGATGACATCATCTGTAGCACCTGGCCACAGTGACCCCAGGGTAACTCAGGGGTGACCCCCAGGACCCCTAAAATTGCCCATCCTCAATCTGCTTCTCAATGACATTGTCTGCACCACCTGGCCACATCAGTGACCCTCAGAACCCCCCAAAATCTGGTCCTTGAGCAGTGACCCCCAGACATTGTCCCCACAGTGATGTCATCATTCCCCCAAATCTGCTGTCCTTGATCTGCTTCTCGATGACCTTGTATGTGTCACCAGCCATGGTGACCCCAGGGTGACCCATGGCTAACCCCCAGAGCCCCCCAGAAATCTGCTGTCCTCGATCTGCTTCTCGATGACATCATCAGAGACATAATCTGATGACACATCTGAGGTCACCCCCAGACCCCCAAAATCTGCTCCTTGAGCAGTGACCCCCAGAACCTCCCCAAAATCTGCTCCTTGAGCAGTGACCCCCAGAATCTCCCCAAATCTCCCATCCTTGATCTGCTTCTTGATGACATCATCTTAGACACCCACCTGTGGTGACCCTGGGGTGACCCATGGGTGACCCCCAGAGCCCCCCCAAAATCCCAACTCAGCAACTCCTGGAAGCAACCGATGGCTCCCAACTCCTGCCTTTGCTCATTCCCAGACAAATTCAGTTTTTATGGAGCGAATAAATGAGTTTCAATCCATTCCCAGCATTTTTGGATGCAGGGAGAAGCCTCCACCATCTCCTACCTATAATTTGGGGCAGGGAATATCCATCCAGGTCCAGGAGCACCGTTCCCGTCTGGAGACACGTCCGCAGCTCAAAGAGGCTGTGCAGGGACAACGTGGACACGTGGGGTTTGCTCCACCTCTCGCCGCCTTCCTCCACCTTCTCCTCGAATTTGATCCACCTGGAACGGAGGGGAAGTGAGGATGAGGGGATGGCTTTTCCTGGGGAGTTTCCCTCCTTGGAAAGCTTGGATTAATTAATTAATTCTGCGATGTTTGTGCTCGTTATCCCGAGTGGGAAGGGAGAATCTGGTGATGCCATTCCCCAAAGTGCTGTTTCCGTGATTGTGAAGAGGAGGAAAACCTCCCAGTCTCTCCAGAGGACCAAACTCTGGATTTTCCCCTCCTCAAATCTCTTTTAAGGGATCTGGGAGTTGTGGAATGGAGGAAAACCTCCTGGTCCCAGCAGGGAACCAAATTCCATAGATTTCCCCCTCCTCAAATCTCTCTGATGGGATTTGGGA